TCCTCTTTACTACTAGTTATAGCATGAAATAAACATGAATGAACATTAGAGTTATGTTCTCTCAGCTGCAGAAAGCCATCCATACACCATAGTCCACTGACGTTACTCTTAACTCTCCTGTTTGGGTTGTTTGTCAGACAAAATGGCGAATTCGGCATTATGACTGGTCAGATCGCCTGTCAATCAAACTCCAGGTCAAGGGTGAAATCCCACCCTACATTCCAGAAATCGTTTCACTCGGATATACGTCACAATAGGGAAGATGACTTTAAAGCATAATCTTGAGAGTTTCTGAAAACCCCATCCAATGCGATGAAACATTTTGCCAGTCTTTCTGTATGTTTTAAAAATAAACTAGAAATATTTCATTTGTTTGTAAACAGATGCGATGGCAACTGTGTGTTTGTACAATGCAGACGCATCTCTCACGTCAAACGTGGAACAGGTAATTCCTTATTTATTTTTAATCTTTAAGAAAATCGAAATATTTATTTTACTTATTTTATTTCAAAGCATTCTCCTGCTTAAAAGGCTAAATAAAAAGTGTCCATATCCTAGTGTATTACTAGGGTGAGCCTGCACTCAATATCTGAAATCCTGTTGTAGCTATGATCTAGTTCTGCACTAATAGTTGAGTATGATAGTACTTTTCTGAACCGGGCTTTATCAGCATGATGAATATAATTTTGTTTAATTGTTTATTGTTTATTTTTTTTATTTAATGAGGGACAGTGCACATTAATAATGCACACAACATGTGAAAAATGTGTCAGATTTAGTCAAAACTGGCTAATTTTCATCCGTAGTCCCTTGGCAGGTTGATGTTAAAAACTATAAAAACAACAAACAAAGTATTCTCTTCACACAAATTCAACTCCAAAAGCTCTACAAATGGTCAAATTGTTGGTGGGGGGAGTGAATAATCAGTGCTCTATTTCACCCTCAGTACCATGACTGAGGTGAGACCCTTGAGCAAGGCACTGAACCCCTAACTGCTACCTTGGGCGCGCAGCAATATAGCTGCCCACTGCTCTGGGTGTGTGTGCGCACTTGGATGGGTTAAATGCAGAGCACAAATTCCAAGTATGGGTCACTTCACTTCACTTTACCACAACGTAGTTATTAAAAATGGTTGCTATTTTGCCATGTTCACAGATGCGTTTTCATTCCAGATCAAGTTCTATATTTTCACTGGCTTTTTCTATCTTACTATTAAACTTCTAAAATTTTCGCATATCAATTTTGCATTTCCATTTCCTTCCTCTATTATGGAGATATGAAATTTTGCTTTAGATTTTCTAATTTCACTTATTACTTTGTTTCTTAATTTATTAAAACTTCGCTGGAGTGAGTTGCCGGGGGGGTGGACGAACTCGCTGCTGGCCACCTCGAGCCTCCATGGCGGCAGACTGCTCCGTCATGCTCGATGGCACCGCGGACTCACCACAGCGGAGAGGGATCCCTGGCAGTGTGTCCCTCCTTCCTCCCGGGTTTCGGCACCAATGTAACAAAGTTCGTAGTCACGGGAAGAAGGAGGCGGGAACCGGCGAACATTTAAATACTTTAATAATAAAACAAACACAAAATGAAAGTGTGTTTCGCTCTGTTCCCACGGCTCTCGGCCCCGCCCCTCTCGTCACACCAACCCATTAAGTTATTACTCAATTTAAATTGTTCTAAAAGCCTACTTACTAAAACGTGAAGTTGAATTATATTAAAAGCAGAGGAAAAATCTACAAATAAAAGTCTTGCATGAGACCCCTTCCCCTCCAAATATTTCACAAGTGAATGTATCAAGGTCACTGTGGCATCCTCTACACCTCTTTTATAATTATATCCACCTTTATATCTGTAGGCGAACTGCATTGGATCTAATAAACTTTCAGTCATCCTAAAGATTTCAGATCTCACATGACTTTCAATCATTTTCATTAAAACGGATGTAAGATCCACCGGCCTAAATTCATTTAGCGTCCTTGGACATCTAGATTTCAGAACAGGGACAATCATTGCATCCTTCCACATATTTGGAACATACTGAACCCTCAAAGACATATTAAAAAATGTAGTGAAATACAGGACTCAACTCTTTTGCACAAAACCTGATTACCCGCCCACAAATATTATCAGGCCCATAACTCTCATTTACTCTACTCTAACAAAATGATTATAAAATCCATTCAAGGCATTTGCAAATTCCAAATCCGAATTATATCCGTCCAAGACGACCTGATTATTGTGCTTTGAACTATCATACACTAATGTACTTTTCATACTAGACCAGGCCAAGCCCAATTTATTAGCAGCTATCTGACTCTCTTATCTCACCTTATAATTCTGTTTTGCCTTTAGTATTTCTCCTTTCAACTCCCTAGTGTCTACTTGTTTATGCAGATAAGTGAATTCATCTTGTTTAAACACCCATCTCTTATTTTCTATTCTGGTTTTAACAGATTTCAGTCACTCATGGTTTGTTATTTGGGTAGATTCTGACCGTTTTACAAGGAATTATCATGTCTCAACAAAAGGCAACATAAGAACAAGTCACATCAGGGGCCCGTTCTTCGCCCCTCGCTTAATATATCTTTATATATCTAATATATCTTTGAAGCAGATTTGTTAGGTGACAGCATTAATTAAAGTTTTAATTTGGTTCTTCAAACGAATTTGTGGATTTTATTAAAATATCTGGGTTAAATTGTCTAAGATTACTGCGTGTTCTCGTGTTCTCCCTAAAGGGCAGAATTATCGATACTCGAAACCACGATCAGCAATGCAGCGATTGGCTGGCGGCAAGACAGCAACATAATGATATCTGTTACGTCCTTCGACGTAAGTTATTATTTGTATTTATTTGCATTGGTATATATTGTATATGTTGTATTGTGTGCTACGGATTGTGCGCAGTTCCCTCCCTCTCTTTCTGGCAGTGCTTAATTGGGACCAGCT